TAAACACATAAGTAGAGTACTAAATCACGAAACTCACCCACATATGAAGCAAAATAGGAGGACTCACCCCGATAAGCAGAACCGAAACAAAATACGATGACGCTCCTCTATAATAATTCGAAACCATAACTGTACGGCATCATCTAGTGCAGCGGCCTCAGCCCTACTGTAGAAAACATATCGATGGGCCGGGTCTCCTCCTCTTAGGTGCCCTCAACTCGCCTGACCTGTACCCCAAGATGGCGGTGCAGGGATATTAGCAACTGGGGCCGAACTCATAGCTTGAATACCCCGCTGTGACACATCTGTCCGGAGTCTGGAACAATCTCTCACCATGTGGCTGGTATCTCAACACTTAAAGCAACCTTTCTGCTGACTGATGAGTGGTGATTTTACCATTTATTTTAGTCTCTTTTCTTTAGTTTTTGTGTCTTTTAATTATAAAATGAGGTAATTTATGGTGTGCATTGCTAGATTTTCAGGTACAATGACTTTTGAAGAGAGTTGAGACCAAATGGAGTGGAATTGAGCAAAAATGGTTGAACAATTGCAAAACTGCTCCCAGTGATCTCGCACCTACATGAGAATTACCGCTTCAGCGGACTCGCATCTGCGAGTAGAACACTGCATCTGTGGAATAGGAAAGCTTCGCATCTGTGCTGGGCCATCCGCATCTGCGAAGGCGCTTCTGCGGAATAAGTCTGCTCCTGCGTATGCGCTTCATGGACCGCTTTTGCGGAGATTCAACCATCTACTCAATTTTGCATCTGCGTGCATAATTTTGCATTTGCGTTGATCCTTCCGCAGGTGCGGCCAACAGACTTCAGCTCTGGACAGATTTGGCAATTCACATTTTCCTTATCCCAAACCCACAAATACACGACCTAGCTCATTTGTAAAATATCTTTTGGCTTATTTTCAGTCTCTTGACAAGAGAACACAAGTTTTGGAGCTAGGGTTCTTGCACACACACTTGTGTCTTGAAGATTTGAAGCTTTTGGTTGAGAATTTCTTGCCCATTTATATTCATTTCTTCATTTCCTTGCTTTGTGTTGAATATCTAAGTGTGTAGTATTTGTTTCATTACTTGAATCTTGTTTATGGGAATATTCATATTTAAAGTGTGGATTAAATATCTTGTTGTGCTTATGTATTGAACGATTTTTATTTATTATGAAATGAGGTATTGTTTCTTTAATTATTCTTGTTCTTTAATATTTCCAAAGGGATTAGCTAACCAAGGACTCGCCCATTCACTTCGAATTAATTTTGGGAAAGATAATTCGGGGTTGGAAAAGATTAATTAACAAGAACTTAAGGCGTTAATCCTCAC